TCCAGTATTACATATTGAATACTATCCTTTGTAACTGCAAGCATAGATGCCATTTTGTTTAATTGTATACATTTGTAGTTTTGTCACAACTGCTTTATTAAATCTGTTTTGTAACATATGTTGCATTTTTTGTGTCATGATTGACATTTTTTTTCATATCCTCTATAAGCTGAAGGAATACTTTAGCAGTGTGATTAAAGACAAGGATGACATCATACACCGGATTCTCTAGGACCTTGGTTCTCAACTGGTGGGTCGTGACCCAAAAGTGGGTCGCGACACTGCGTTCAGTGGGTCGCCACATGCCTCCCACTTTTCTAGGGGAGAAGCTCCCAGCCTCCCCCTAGCACAACACTGTCCATTCTTACACTGAGCAGCCATTCAAAATATGCTGCCTGGCTCCGAGTGTTGACTTGAGGTGAGGTGGGCTGGGGGGTATGCCCGCTAGGGAGCTCCAGCCATACGTGCATTGCTTATAGCTCCCTTGCATGGCCTGGACCGGAGTGACATCACATTCTGGCTCCCGGCACCTCTATAGAGCGCGCATGGGAGCTGTACAAGCAATGCACATATGGATGGAGCTCCATCACAGCACAGCAGCCCACACTGCCATGCGTTCCATTGTAGTGCGACTTGGGTCGCGACCTAATGATCGAGGACACATGTGGGTCCTGAGGTTACACAGGTTGAGAACCACTGCTCTAGGAGATTGTATATCTTGTTTAGACTTTGCTACGCTGCATTGTTGTAACTGTATTATTCTAACAACTGATTATATTATTTTAGTTGCTTATTCTAAAATCACAACTAGATGGCGTCAGTGACCTCCTTGTGAGCAAGCACTGTATCTAGTTAAAGTGTCTAAAGCCCAAACTATTTATTTCTGGGGTTTTGGATGGAGTGGAGGAGGATAAGAACCCTCTGTCAGCTTTTTTTTATTGATGTTTGCTGTCACTGGCACTAAAAGTAAATTAAAAACCAAAGTGTTACAGTTGTCACAGAACAGAAAATCTTCCTAAAGGAACTTATGCACTCAGGGTGGTCCCTATAATGAGACAGCCCGAGGTGATTGCCTCACACAACATCTCTTTGGGTCATTTGGGGGGTGGGGGCTTCCCCCCTTTCTAGCCAGAGAGCTCTTAGCGACCTGCGAAGGTCTGGAGGCGTCCCACCCAACTTACTGACATCACTGGTCGCCAGAGTGGGATTCACTGACCAGTATCCTACCCAGCCCCTGGCAGCCAGTGAGCTGGCAGGACACAGGATAGTAGGTATAATGCACGCAATCCATCGGACCTACACTCTCAAACCCCCTCCCTGGCCCTGTTCCACCAGCACATGCCCACCCAACCCAGATCTGCACTGCCGGCACCCAACACCGCTCCCCCAGAACTGCACCACCAGCACACACACCACAGTGGTCCCCCCACCCCCAATTCAAATGTTGTGAATTGTATTGACGGTCCTGCCTGTTCTGCTAACAACTAAGAAGCAGCACAGTGATTAGCTCATCTCTCTGTCACTCTGCTCTTTCCTACTGTCAGCACACAAACTACTCGGCTTCTTGTGCTGCTTCTGTCTCTTCCATTCTGAGCTCTGCTGTACATTGACTACACGAGAAGGCTACCGGCTAAAATATAGGTACTTGGATAGCTTGTATTTTCAAATACATTTAATAATTAGAGTAGAACTAAGTCATTTTTAAAAATCTCTTTGAACAGAGTGGAGAGGCCTTAGAACCCTATTGGGTTTTTAGTGCTGCTAGAGAGTAAAGTAAAAGAAAATCCCAAATTCTGTACTGACCAGGGATTTCCCTCAATTTGGAGAGATTTCCACTTCCTTTTGTGACTATAAGGACAGGAAGTGAAGGGAAATCTCCCTTATTTGACACAGATGGCATAAAGATGACCATGGTTATAACCCTCCCTTACTGTATCCAAAAGCAGGTTTTGGCATTCATTTCTGTCTTTCGTAAAGTTCGGCTTTAAGCAGTTCACAGATTGCAAAAGGAAGCACATTTGTAGGGACTTGAACAGTCAGGAAAAAAAAAATTGATGGGGGGGCCAGATTTACTCTCTCTGCTGCCCCAATGCCAGGTTCCTCAATACGCCCCCTGTATGCAGGCTGCATACAAGTGATCTCGGTGACATTGCCAAGATCAATTGTACAAAACAAGCGGCGGGTTCCCCGCTGTACATTTAGCCCTGCTTGCCGAAAACAGGGCTGAATATAGAAAACAACTACCCGCCCGCCACCCAGAACTGCATGTCCCGGGCATCGGGAGATAGGAATTCCACACCCCTGCTGCCCCTCTATTCCCTGCTGCCCCAAAGCCGAGCCTCGGTTGGCCTTGTGGGATAGCCGGCCCTGGTTCTAACAACTCCCTACTACAGGGGTGCCCATTAGGTAGATGGTGATCTAGCAGTAGCTCTCAAAGATCACGAAGGGTGTGAATGGCGGCCCGTTTATTCCATTTTGGTATATTTATTTAGCTGTGCACACATGATTACCTATTAGCCCGAGTCTGCTGAGCCGAGCTCCCCGACACCTTTCTGGTGGATACTGGGGGTTGTAGTGCTATGTATTACATCAAAGAATATTAGTTTACACAGCCTGCTGCACTACACTGTCTGCAAAATACAGCAAGGTGAGCCAGGAGAGAGACAGACTGTAGAGAGAGCGTGGGGAGAGATAGCCAGGGGTGATAGCAATGAGAGACAGCCAGGAGAGAAAACAAGGAATGACAGCCAGGAGAGTGGGAGGAGAGACAACCAGGAGAGAGAGAGGAGAGACAGCCAGGAGAGAGAGAGGAGAGACAGCCAGGAGAATGAGCAAGGAGAGACAGCCAGGAGAGAGAGTGAGGGAGGTTTTTATATCGTTGGTAGATCTCATGTAGCTCGTCATTGAAAAAGTAGATCTTAAAGTGACATTAAACCCTCAGCTTTTTTAACATAAACCAATACTGTAATGTGCGCCTTACTGTAATCCATGGTAGTTTCCCTTCTCTTTGCTGCTCTTCCTTTTAAATCCTCATGTCTCCCCCAGTAGGACTGGCCTGCTCTTCTACCTATGAGCCGATATGACAGGCCAGAATCACTGTCTAGCTCTTCAATCACTTTAGCTGACAGCTCTGTATTTTCCTTAAGCGTTTAATACAATAATCGCCCATTTTTTTTTCTCCAAGAAGGAGATCTGCAGCTAAAAGCCTCGGCACAACGGCATTTAATGCTGCACAAACCCACGACACTTCAGACTAATCCACTACAAAGAGCGAGCAGGTAATGGTGACGCGGCCCTTTGTTCCCCTGTCACCCTCTTCTTGTCAGTTAATCCTGGCGGATAAGGAGGGTGACCCAGCCGCTTGCGTGCTCGGTGAAGAGCTGTCTTGGGTAAAGGGTTGGCGCCTCGCTGGCTGGAGGACTGCGTGCCCCGACATGCCAACTTTCTTACAGAGCCTTGAACGAAAAAAAAATCCTGTATTTTCAGTGTGTTATTATTGTAAAGTTGTGAAAGTGAGTTCTCGTCAGGTTGTCACGCTTGCTGGCTCGCCGTATTTTCATGGCGTTTTATCTGTAGGCGTTCCCGACTTATCTAAAAAAAAAAATGATTGCGACTTAACTTTTGTTGGATAAAGGAAAAAAGTTTTTTCCTTCTCAGTTATAGACATTGCAAGAAAGTTGCCGGACTTTACTTGCAAAACCCTACCTGCTGCTGTATCTGCCAAAACTGACACATGGGTTCCACTCACTTCCTGCTTCCCGCAGTCACTTCCTGCTGTGCTGAATGGGAGGGTCTGCCTGCTGCAGTCACATGACCTGTCCCAGCATTGTAGCGAGAAAAACCTGGTGAGCCAATCACATGGCCGGGATGGAGAACAATCCTAAGGGTCCCCACACACCTTACGATTATCGTACGATAATCGCGGGAAATCC